ATAATTCATCATATCTGTCAACTTAAGACAACAGCATCCATAAGTTTCTGCCACCTGCTAAGGAAAGTTCAGCTCATGCTTGTCCCCTTGGCTACACTTCCATTCTACACATCCTCTGCTGACAAAGGGAAGATAATGGGATACAGAGACTTTTTGCTGTGCAGGCCTGTTCCAAAAACATCAATATACTAAGACTTCTTTCTGAGTTAAAAGTAATTTAGTTTTTAATTATTTCAAGTAAAAAAGACCATTCATACATTTAATGAACACAATATTACAGACCCTTAACAAAAGGGATTGCTTACCCTGCTGCACTAGTTGTACTATAAACAGCCTGGGTGCCAGGTGCTTAAGACTGGACAAATTATACACACAGGTGAGGCTATCCAGAGGTCTCTCACTACGGGGAAGTGTGGGTTCCTACAGTCTCCAGAAATCCAGTGGAATCCTCATTGGTCACAACAGTGAGAACCACAGCAGAACCATGTGTCAGCAGAGTCACTTCTGCCAGCATTTTGTGCCGACAGAATGAGAAGCCCAGGGTGCAAGAAAAGAAAAAGAGAAATTCCCCCCTGGTCACACCTGCCTTCTCTAACACATTTCATTTAATGAAAGGTTAAAAAAAAAAAGGCAGTTTTTCATAGTTGCCTTACCATTTTTTTTTGGTATTATCTCGCTTCTAAAGCAAGTAAAATGCCATTTGTATGTTAAAGAGGAAAAGAGCTGATGTAAATCTGAAACACATCATGTGACTCAGTGAACCTCTAGCACATAACAGCCAGCCTTCTGACGTACCACAAAGCCACAAAGAGAGATAGAGACCCTAAAAGAACAAATTCTACCACAGGAGCAAGAACAGGGCTTTGGAAAAGTCCAGAATCTAAAGATTCTTCCTAGGAAGGATGTAGCACAGGGCAGCTGAGAGAAATGGCAGCAGACTGATAGCCTCCTTACTTGAGATGCTCATGCAAGGACTAAAGTTCTAGTTCTTAGCAGCAGTCTGGAATTACAGAAACTAATATTTTTTGATCACAGTCTTTCAGCATTGGTTTGCACATTATTAGAGACAGTAAAATGTCTCTCTGTAACATTGTTTGGGAAAACTTATTAGTAGGAACATTAGAATTTTATGCAACTCAGCAGATGATGGCTCACAGCAGATGATGAAAATCCAACTTTCATCTACACCAACATTTTAAAGACCCAAAACATCGTGGATAATCCATGCTGACACTCTGAACTGATTACAAAGCATACAATAGAAAATATGTAGAAAGGACACACCTGAATATTGTGCTGTATACAAAGCAGTTTCAGTTGATGAGGACTCACAAGCTCTAACCCGCTCTAAAATTACCCTTCCACAGCATGATTATCCAGCCACATTCTCAAACATACCTGCATGTCAGTACCCGAGAATCTGAGGTTAGAAGCAAGGACTGGTTTTCAAAATACTGATCAGCACTCCCACACTTACTTAGCCAGGATGCCCATGCTCAGGAACAACTTGATAACTTCAGTGACACACACAGCCGTCGTTGAAAAGTAGAGTTCTGTCTCCACTGTCCTGGTGTACCGCAGTGCCACCGTGTACGTGGCAGCAACCAGGGTCATCACCATGAGGCAGTACAGCTTGAACAGTAAGCTGACATTTTCTGAAACAAAACAGAGGAGATGATTCAGTGTGACCCTCATTTTAATTTAAGAACTGAAACAGTGTGTTCTCCAGCTGGAGGGATGTATCAAACAGCACTGTGTCAGAAGACAATAATTACAATGTTAGGAAACACTACACATACAAAAGTTTCAGTTAAATTTTACAGCCTTCTCAAAGAAGGCTGTAAAGGAGCTCCAAGTGTTTGAAAATAAGATGCTATCTTGCCCTCATAATCATCCTTCATTCTAGAAAAAACTAATCATACATTAATACTTATCTAATCACAATCAAAAAGTCTTTGTGTGCTTTAGCTGACAGGTAGGCGCTCGGTCTGAAATGGCAGCTGATCCTCTTCATGTAATATACTGAACTCTGACACAAAGAGCATTGGCAGACTAGCAAAACCAAAAATGGAGGAAAAGTTCACTATCGGCAAAGAAATCTAGCAAATCTTAATAAATAAGGCAGCATTTCCATCAGCCCTATTTTCCACTGAAGTTAGTAAAAGATTTTACTCTGAATGGTGATGGAACTTCACACAAAGGACTTTCTTGAAAAATACCCTGTAGAAAGGTCTACGGTTAAGGCTCTTCCAGTAAATTAAACTAGACCAGAATAGACTGCGCATAATTTGTGTTAGCCCCTCTGTCTTCCCCACTGCTATACTCCTACAACAGTAGCAATATTTGTAACAGTTTTGACCTGGACCAACGACTATCCTGCAAAATTTAGGAGTTAGCCTGTCCAAGGTCTCCTGGCACAGGCAGTTTTTCATCCATCCACACTCCTCTGAGGCCTGAGAGTTCCTTCAGGCCACTCCATTGCATTCCCAGGTCAGGGAATGACTAAGCCTGCATCTGAGCCAGCAAAGAGAACAGCACACAACTACAAATGGGATTTCTCTGCACAAAGGCATGACCCAACATGAGACACCAGCAAATGTGTAGCTTCTACAAAATCTTTTTTCAAATTGGTAGATTGTTATGTCTGGCATCTCTCTGGTGGGTATTGGTCATTCAGCAGCACCCTTGAGGCCACTGCAGTGATCTAAATACCCTAAAGAAACGTGTTTTAATTGGTGAAAGTTTGTGTTCTTCTGCTGATTAGGGAATGAGATACAGGATAAGTACTTTTGTAATAACTTTGCTCATTTAATAAAGGAATGAGTTGCTGAATCCACTGCCACCAATGCTTTGGTTCATGTTTTTTTCAAGCCAGAGATGTCTTCAATTGCATAACATTTCTTCAAGGTACAGTTAATACCTCCTGCCACTGCAATCATTTAAATTAGCTACTTCCTCATAGATAAAAATCTTACCCACGTCAGTAATCACTTTTAAAAGGTAGAGCCAATTAGTTTTTAAACTAACAATGCTTAGAAGAGACTTACAAGCTGTAATCCATTTTTAAATTAAATTTGGATTGTGGGGAGGAAATCCAAGGGCATAACAACCAGGAAGTATAATTAACCCCATCTGGTTTTACAAAAACGTATCTTCTAATGATGCTTCAGTGCTGACAGAAATTATATTAATGCTGTGATTTGACACACGAAAATTTTAAGTCTATGCTCCACCAAACTAAAGCTAAACTTAATCCTTGCTGCTATTAACTACTCTTTAAAAAAAAAAAAAAAAAAAAAGCTCCAATTTGGCAATGGTTTGGAAACTTGGGTAAACCAAATGCAGCATGACATAATGAATCTACTATCCAGAACAGATAGTTCCAGCATTATGGAAAAAGGTATTTGTAATTCTTTTCAGCCTGGACATTTCTTCAGCCTGGCTCACATGTCTGCATCCGTACCAGGGCAGCAAGGGGAGCAGAAGAAACCATAGTTGGGGCACCTGTAACTTCCACTGATAAATCTGAACTTATACCCGTCTAAAGAAAAGAAGAGCTGGAAGATGCTTTTGGTTTTTCCCCAGTAAATCCCACCTGGATGAAATGATTTCTGGCAAAAAGGGACCAGACAGGTCAAAAGCCTTAGGATACAAATGCAGGCCTCCCACACATCTCCACGGCTCATCTAACGGCTCTGCCAGGGCTCCTGGAAGGCAGCCCTGGGCCAAGCCTGGCATGGGAGCACAGCCCACTGCCTGCCCGGTTATCTGGGATGGCAGACACTTGGCACACACTGCTGGGAGCCTCTTGCCCTCACCCTTCCAGGCCCCACTGCCAGGAGCTGGGGAGCCCTGGGCAAGGCCCTCCATCCATGGGGGAACTGGAAGCAGGGCAGGCAGCACCTTCCTGGCAGATTTAAGCCCTCCTGGCTTGCCCGAGGTTCTGGCCTCGTTGTACAGAGAATTATCGAGAATCAGGGAATCAATTAGGTTGGAAAAGATCTCTGTTGACATCGAGTCTGACCTATGACCGAACACCACCAAGTCAACTAAACCATGCCACTCACTAAGTGCCACATCCAGTCTTTTCTTAAACACCTCCAGAGATAGTAACTCCACCACCTTCCTGGGCAGCCCATGCCAGCAACTAATCATCCCATCTGTGAAGAAATTCTTCCTAATGTCCAACCTAAACACACTCCAAAGGGCACCTGGGTGCGGAGGCGTTTCCAGGGACGCCTGCGGTGCCCACGGGATGGGTGCAGGGGATGTCCCTGTGCACTGACCGCCTGCCCCCGGGATAAACCCCAAAGATGCTGCGCCACGGTCAGCATGAGGGGAGCTGGCGGCGGGGGAGACGCGACTGTGGCTGATCCTAAAGGCGGAGGCGTCCCGGGGACCCGGCAAGCGCCGCACCGGGAGCACCCGCCGCCCACAAGACGGGGATGCAGCAGTGCCACAGCGCGGGGAGAAGCTCTCGGGAGGCAGGAGGAGAGCGGGAGGGTGGGAAAGCAGGCGGGGAGAGCCCCTCCCCAGCGCGACCCCGCGGCTCCGCGCAGCCCCTTCCCCCCCTTGGCGCCCGCAGTGGTGGCGCCCGGTGCAACAGCCCCCAGCGGGGAGGACAGTTCCACTGCCTCTGGCAGGGGGGAGGCAGGGGGAGCCTGCGCGCGGGTCGCGTTTCCTCTTGGGGAAGCGGGTGGGAATTGTCCCCGTTTTCCGGCCGTGCCGCCCGCCGGGAGCCGCGGGACCCGCCGGGAACCCCGCGCCGACGCCCTCACCTTTCGGAGGCGACATGGTGCTCGCCGAAGGCTCCAGGACCGCCGGGCCGGAGCCGCCCGCCGTGCCCCGCCGCTCCTCCCATCGCACCATAGAGTGCGGCGCGGCCGCCCAGAGCGCCCCGCCGCCCGCGCCGAACCATCGAGTTGAGCTCCGTCCCGCCTGGATATCCTGGAGAACATCCTGCTCCACCCGGCCGCTTTTCGGAGCTGTTTCATTGGCAGCGAGCATCCAGGAATCTCACACACGTATTTCTGATTGCCAGGAGCAAGCTCGTTGCCACCGACACGTTTCTGCCGTGACAAAACCGAGATGAAAATTACAGTTGTGTTTCCCAGTATTTTACAGCACTGCAGTACCTTCTCCAGTGGAAAAGAACGAAGTGGGATAAAATGAAACATCAGTCATCAGTTTACTTTTAAATAAAATGTATTTCTGGATTCTTGAAATACCAGTTTGTTGGTAAGAACTGTAACATAAAAGCCTCAAAGCAAATGATAATATAGAAAGATCACAGCAAGAGAGAGAAAGTGTTTAATAAAGAAGTGACAGGGTATTTCTGGAAAAAAAAAAAAGCTGCAGCTAGTGATTGCATTGATATTTTAATTAATAAATCTAATCATTGGTGCCTGCTCATAATTTAGAAGCATGGAGGAGCAGCACATCTAGCTGCTACTCCATAATTAGTTTATTATCCCAACAGAGAAAATCATTTAATCAAAAAACATTTAGCAAAGTTCTTTCTTAGTGCTCCCCTCACACTTTGTTTTTTTAAATAATGCTCTGGGCATTTGTTCCTGTTGTGTAACTTTTAAAAATTAACCTAAACACCTTGGAAATCAAAAAGAGAATGCTATCCTGCACAATGCCACAGAAAAAGTGCTTCATTGTCACAAGCTTGTCTTGCTACAAGCCAGGAAACCACACAGCATCACAATGCACACACACAAAAGAAAGAGATTTATAAACCTTAGCACGCCCTATGCAATCACCTGGACACCTTGTGCACCTGAACACCGTGAACATAGCAGTTTGGGGAAGTCTACTGTCATGAAAAGGACCTCTATTTTAAGGTACCCCCTGTTTCCATTTGACATGTTTTATCCTGAAGCTCAAATAATTCGGGTTTTCACAAACAGAAATACTGTCTGCAGTTGCACTGATCAGACCTGGCACTTATGTCTTTGCCACAATGACATAAAGCTAAAAACTTTTTCTCTGTCATACTTCAGTGTTTCAAACATAAGCAAAACAGAGCTTTCAAAAATATCCCCTGAAGTCAAGTTCCTATGGTTTGCAGTGTGGTCACCCAATACACTGTTTAGCCAAGAAATTGCTAGAGATATAAAAAGGTGCCAGAACCACCCAAGATTGATGCCCTCCTCTCAACCTCCCAACCTTGGTCTACACTCATTGGGTTGGGTTAACACCAGCACAAACAGACAGGGCCAAGGACCCAGACTGGTTTCATTTTGTTGGTTTTGCCTTCTTGACAACTCTGCTCTAAGGCTGGGGTTGTGACATTTGAGTGACTCCTGGGGTAAGTTTTTTCACTTAAAGACAGTATTTCAACAAGCAATCGTTGCATTAAAACTTCAGTAAAATCCCAGAATGCTACACATTTAAATGTTAGAAGTGAAAGTCCTTGGGAACATCTTGTTTCTAAATTGCTATTTAAAATCTGTGCTTAAGGCTTATCATTTCTGTCACTTAATGCCAGTCAGCAGCCTCAACAGATAAGATAAATGAAACAGACCAACTGTTCCTGGAATCAACAGACACGGCAAAATCTTTAGTGTCTAAATTCAGATATATTCAGAGATTTTTATATACACTTTCAAGATGTGTCTTCAGGTTTCTCATTTTCACTTAGGTTTCATCCAGTGGTCTTGTTAAGTCTACTGTGACCATATGAGTAGTGGGAGATGATCCTCCTCGGAGACCTTTCAAGAAAATCTGGGGTTTGGGTACATTGGTTGAGTTGTCACGCTTAGTCTGGGTGCCAACATCTTTTGGCAAGTACACTTGGGTGAAGTTCTCTCTTCTCATGTGGCTGAGATCAGTCTGCATGGCATGAGTTAACTTGCGGCGCAAGTTGGCCTAAAGACACAAAAAGAATCAGATTAAGCAAAACTTTGAACATTTTAGCACCAGTATATACTCAGGAGTGTTTGCCTGTTTTACATCTGTGGGCTTCACAAACCTGGAACATAGCCCACCTTACCTCTCCTGCCAATACACAGTTGTGACTGTGATTTGGGAAATCCTGAGCTAACAGGATGTGTGAACAGCACTTTAGGTAGCCCACACAATTTTTAATGAGTCTTATTAATTTCATACCATTGGTCATTGTCCTTCAAATTTTGTTAAAAGCTTCACCTTTGTTTTGTTAGAATAAAATGTTTTCGTGGCAAGTTCTTCCAGTCTTTGGTTTCTGCCAAATGTGATGAGGTTTAGGGGTTGGTGTCACAAAGTATCAGATAAAAGTGAAAAAACACCTTCTTACACTACCTTGCTCAGTAACCCCTTGACAAAGGGTAAAAGTTATGATTAAAGATAGTTATTCACAGAAATTGCTGTAAATACAACAACAGCAACACCACTTTTCACTAAATGTTAGTATTCCAAAACCAGCACTTGAAACAAAAAAAAAGTTCCTTATTCCACTGAGCCTTCTATGTCAGCAACAATGTAAAACACTGTAAATTATGATATAATGTTCTCCTCAAAATACACAAAATACAGTCTCAGGTGCTGGAATTCAGACTTCCCCATGTAAGTGAGAAAGTCCCTGGAGTCCAGTCCAGTCAGTGAAGACTGGAGTCAGTGGAAGCTGAAGAGTGATACAGCTGGCCAAATGTCCTAAATGTTGTATCAGGGCAAGTTAAAATATTCTCCAGACTCCACCACTGAGGTGTCTCTCTGCTGGAATGGAAGGTGACACACCCAAATGTAGGCACATTTGGTACCTTAATCTACAACTGAATCTTATATACAGATTCATCAAGCAGAATCCAGAAAGGAGCAATAAGGAACTTACAGAGCTGTAAGATGGTATGGGAAGAAAGATAATATATTAAGTCCTTTTTTTTCTGAGAGTTTTAATGACTGAATGTATGCTATTACAAGGAACTGTGCTTGAACAGAGAAACAAATGTGAGCTAAAAATTTTACTTCTAACAGCATATAGGTTTTCTAACAAAGTAATAGCTTAATATTTCATACCACTACAAGTTTTTTGGCTAAGTATGAACAACACAAAAAACCCCAAAGGCATGTGAGCTCATCCTCTAACAAAACCCACAAATATATCTGATGCTTCCTTGAAGTATCAAATTCATTGATGCACTGGTAAACTATTTCTGTTATTTTATCACTTTGATATTAAATATTTTATCACCTCCACATTATAAATTAGCATTGTCAAAGAGCACTTTTGCATGCATTTGGGATTTTTTCTTTCAGCTCCGCATCACTAATCTCACATTTGGACAGCTGAGGCTAAAACACCATTAGTACTTTAAAGTACTTTCTCTAAATATTTCAAAAAAATGAGCTACAAATTTGTTTGTGAACGGTCTTCATGACCAGATATTGGAAAATACCCACTTTTGCTTATGCTTAAGAGCCACTAACCACATCTTATGTTTATTTATGTACTTTTGTGCTTTATAAAAGTAAAAGAGGCTTTTAGCTAGGCTTCTTGTAAACCTGATTGGCTCCTTTATATACCTCAGTTACAACTATTTCTTAGAATTCTTCATGAGCTATCAACACTGGCAAGACTGCTCAGTCCAAAATTTTGGTTTCCTTTTATAATTTTAGAGATTTCATGGCAAAAAGTAATTCAGAAAGGAAATAGGCTGCCCAGCAGACCATAGGCCCACACAGTGCATCTGCTCACAGAAGGAAAAAGAAAACCCTTTAATATTATGTGTTCAGTTGATATTGTTAACTATGATATTCCCTGTACTCACAAGTTGTTCATTTTGACTGAATTGTGAAAATCAGGTGCTATACCTTGACAACTACATGTGCTGGCAAACCCTAGAAAGAAGCTTCTGAAATATTTATTGTTAATTTAAAAGTTTTTATGTACATATGTGGTCATCCTTCTACAGACAGACTGATTCCCAATCCATCAGAAAATCCTGATAGTATGACAAGCACTTGCTCTGGCTTTTTTACACAAAGAAATTATACAGAGGATCTTCAACTCATTAAATTGATTTGAATGTAGAACAGCCCTAATATTCAATGCAATTCAATTCAAAACAACAAACTCTTATTACATAAAGAAGGCAACTGAAAAATTTGAAATTAATAAATATAAATATAACAATTCTATATTAAATATAAAAAATAAAAAATAAAAAAAAATTGAATTATAAATATATTTTCAAAAAATAAATATAATAAAATTGAAGTTAATAAATAAATAATATATTATATAAATAAATTATAATTACAAATCATGAATATTATTCAAATATAAATAAATTTGAAATAAATAAATTTGAAATAAATAAATATAATTAATAAATGTAGCAGTGGAAGCACTGCTTTAAAAATGGGGAAAAATATGGAAGAAGTGAGAGAAGAAGTCTAGAAATAAGGAGAGAAAATATCTAGAAAAAAAATTGAACCAGTTTTAATGAAGTGTATGTCTTGGAATAAAAGGTTAGATTTATGTTTCAAGGAACAAAAGTTAAAAATAATTTACTCTTAAATTTGTTATCCAACAATGAAAATCTGGTAATAACAGTACAAACCAATTTTATAGCTTTTCTTCTCAGTTCCCATTCATTCCATTCATAGGATCTCACAATAGTTGGAGGCAAGATATGAGTATCAGTTTGAGTACCACTGTCACGTTTTGGGAGTGGTTCCATTGAACTTTTGCTTGCCTTTCTGGCCTGGATGAAAAGAAACAACCAAAGCCAAGCAATCCATTGAGAAGAATACAGAGAAATAGCATATGGGTATGCTACTTTTAAAAAGCAAATAGAGACCTGCAAACCACAATTGGATAATAATTTTTACATTCAACAATATTTTTGTTACCCATGCCCCCACCAAAAGGAAAACATAAAGGATCTAATGGATTCAATTTCTGACAGAAAACCCTTGAGGCAGAGGCCACAGGGGAGTTGCAGGCTCCTGCCTACCTAGTGAGTGCTTAATCACTAGATTTCGGAAAAGAAGGGTCCCACCACCACCAGTATTTTATGATGCAGGCAGCTCAGTTTGTCTTCATGAATGGAATCACAAATTATAACTGGGAGTAGTGCACTCATCTCTGCTACAACTGAGATATAAACTCTGTTTCAAACCAAGGGCCAGTTCAAGACTACATTCTTTCCACTGCTAGGGATCTAAAATTCAAAAGTGGATCACAGAGAATGTTGTCTATAAAGCCAAACCCAGTCATTGAATTTCACATAGTAACACCATCACATTCATTATTGATGACTCTCCTTTTATTTTGTAATACATTCCATAATTCCTGTCCCCAGATACCACTACACCTTCATCCAACACACATGGATGGACTGCTAAGCTAAAGCTCCAGTTAACATGATATCTGATACATCTGCTGTTGCATTTATTTACTGGTCCTTTAAGGTACTTTTGCAAAAATGAGGAAAAGAAACATCAGACACAAGACCTGCCTAGGCTGTGGACTAACAGCTTTTATCACTGCCAGAATGCTTTGGATCTACATATTTTCCTGTGAATAGATAAGGTGAGAATGACATTGAGTAGAAATGATTCTTCAACACTGTGAAGACCTGGAAAAGATGGACCTTCAGACAGGCAGAGGATTTTACTGCTTTTCTAAAGACAGGTATCATCTGTTCTCTTTCAGAAAGGACAGACCAACCAGTGACCCAGCAGCTGTTCAGCAAGAGGCATGGGCAGTGTGTACCTGTGCATGTGGAACAAGGTATTCAAACTGATGACGGAGCTCAAGCAGTTGAATTAGCTCTGCATATTGTTTTGCTTTTTCTACGTTCAATTGAATGAACTTATCTGGATCTTGAGCAAAGATGTATGCAGCTTCTTTTGAACTGAAAACATAATATTTCGCCTTGTGCTTCAAAATTCCAATAGCAGGATTTCCTAAAAATGAGAAGAAAAGCCAACCCAAAATAAACTCCACAAATTAAAATTGTGAGCAGTATGATATCCAAAACAAAAGACATTTGTAATCAAGATTCTGTGTTTCCCTCGAGTTAGTTTCACTTCCTTCTTTTTCTGAACTCAGTATAAACCCTTAAAAAAAAGCTTTTTTTAAATATAGAAAAGTCCATTTTGTTAGGTCAGTTAAACTGCTTCTGATCAGTTCACATCCAGCATGCCTTAGGTGCATGTCTCAGAAAAAGAACACATAAAACACATATAGCAAAGGCATAAGAAACCAGTCTCTACCCTCAAATACTTCCCATAAAATCTCCACCAAATATCTGATTGCAGATCAGTGGTGCATTTATACCAAAGGGCATAACACTGAGATTGACTGAAGAAACAGATAGAGCAGCTGGGAAGCTGAACAATAAATTAACAGAGAAAATGAAGTATCAATAAAGGCCAAATAACTTCTATAGGAAAACATAAATTGATTTCAAGGACAATGGTAGGTTGTGCTTCAGATGTTATTGCCCAGGAAAGACCAGAATCATCACAGACAGTGCCTTGAAACTACTTAGTCAAAAAAGGAATTATTACTATGCAAACATAGTAGAGAATAAAACCAACATTATAACAACCTGTAGGCTACATCTGTAGTAACATATTTTGTTCCAACACAACAGAACAAGTAAAAGGGAGCTAGGAGTAATCAAAGGCCTGTGATGCCTTTCATAGAAGGAGAGGTTAAAGAAAGAAGCCTCCTCAGCATTAAAAAGAAAAAAATAGATAATATGATAGGAGGTTGGTTATAAAACCATTAATTGTGTGCAATATAATATTACTACTTAGTAATTTTCCTAACAGAAGGACTATCAAGTCTTTGTTGAAATTATCAAGCCAGAGCTTAAAACCATCTTGAAAAGAGGTATATATATGCTTTTCATAGCATATATAATTGTGGGGCTCTTGAGAATAAGAATATCCCATGACAAACTCTAGATGGATTCCAAAATCAATTAGATAAATGAAAAACCTCTTTGAAGCATTATTCAACAGAAGATTACAGACTCAACATTAATCAGATGAAATCCCATAACCACTAACTGCTAGAACAAGGAAGGATATAATTAAGGAAGGATCACTCTGATTTGAATTCTCATAATTTTAAAGTGTTCATGATTGTCCATGTGCAGTAATCAGATACAGGGCTAGAGACACCTTCAGTCCAATTCATGACAGCTGCTCTCATGTGCAATACTAAGTAAGTAAATTACATGGCTAATAAAATATCTGTTCTTTAATACTGGCAAGTAAATGGCCATATTTTCCTCCCAGATTCCCATAGGTTTAAAAAAATTCTATATGGACAGGTTCTAGACAGGATAGGGAGACAGAAAACACAAACTAGGATACTTGAAATAAGGCTAACTTTCAAGACAAATGAGCCTTGAGAAACAAAATATTCCTACGATTAGTTGACGTAATCAAGTGCACTTTTGAATTCTTTTCAGGAAAGATTTTAGTTCTTTGTCATGACTGTTTAAAAATACATATGAGGTAGGCATGAATGGCCATGTTTGCACTATATGGATACACAAAATAGAAGGAATGGCCATTTCCCTATGCCTGCATTATAGCACATTAACAACAGTAACCAAACCTGACTCAGCTGCAGTGACTATATATACAGACACACATACAGAAGGAAGAAACATTTATCCATCCCATCTTGTTTCTGGCCCCTGCTTGCTCTTCAAGCCCTCCTGTCTTCTACTAAGGGCAGCTTATTTGTGTATTTTAAAAAAGATACTTTAACAAGGGAAATAAGTTATCTGGGGTGAAAATTACAAATGTGGAAAAACAGTATTCCAGCTTTGACATAAGAGGATGAATTCAGAACACCTTTACATTGTTCCTAATCCTTGTGTAAATATATAGTATGGAAAACACCTAACTACAAAGCATACCTGGTAGGGTGATACCTTTCACACCAATTGAATGTGCACAGAAACCATGGTACTGGATTAGCAACTGATCAAAATTATCAGTAGTCTCTAGAAAAAGCCATTCTTGGTTCTTGAAATCAGAAACATTGACTCTGGTTTCTGAGAAAAGATAAAACAAAGGAAGGATTTCAATATTAAAATACTTGATGTCTAAAAGCTAGTAATATTAGAGGATGACTAGATTACTCTGGTTTTCACAGGATGACCTGAAGTGCCTGGATTCCAAAAGTCAAACTTTAGTCCTGCCTTGAAAGAGAACCTACTGAAAATCAGTCCTGAGAGAACCTTCTTTAGTAGCATTAGTTTTCTTTGAAAACATTGGACAACAACAGGAAGAGAGTATTTTATTCTTTGATTTTCACCCACCCATGCATTAAAAACTCCCTGGCCTAAAACTCGGTTCCTAGGGATACCATCTTACAAACTCTTCTGGTAACTGAAGTCCTGTTAAATTACTTTGTTTATACCCTATCCCCTCAATTTCCAAAGTTCTCAATGGTATAAAAAGACATAAATACACTTCAAAATTTTTTACAAAATTTATTAATATTCTCTGATCATTATGCCATTTTTGTAAGGTATACTTGTATCTAGAAGCTCTGTTTTAATTTCACATGTAAAAATAAAATCCCAAGCTACATTACATGAAAATGTAAATTGACACCCTACAAGGCTTATTTTAATTTACTGTGCAAATTCTGAGCATTAAAAAATCAATATGTAGCAACCTCTGTAAAGGCTGCACCTATTGCAGAGAAAATTCAAACTACAAAATCTTGGAAAATTAAGGAAAACCCAAAAGTTTCAACATTCCATACCCATGGTTTCTTTTATCCTTTCCTCATCACTTTTCACAGTCACTCCTTCCAGAAGAGATGTTAGCATTTCCTCTGGAAAAAGCTGTGATTGGATTTCCAAGAATTGTTGCAGATTGTTAGCCATATTTGTGAAGAAGCTTAGCAGTAGCATTTCATCCTGAAAGCTGGTCCAAAGCTTAGAAAGTTCCATAAACAGAGGCTAGAACATAAAGAAAATTATCTGAAATGCAGATTTGTTTTATGTCTCCAGTGTAACCCATGCACTGTGCACAACAATCTCAGCTATGAACTAAGTAGGGCTGATCTCCAAGGCCTCCAGCAACCAGAAATTCCAGGGGAATTCAGGGACACTGTAAAAGGAGCTTCCACCACATATGCCTAAAGCAAGGAAATCCAACATGTCAACCTACAGGCAAATGTAGTACTTTTCTGTATTTTACTCCAGAGCCTTTCTCAAATAAATGTACTCTGTGACCATGCTTTGAATTAAGCACGTCACTGACAATAGTTTTATAACTGAAAATATGGTGTAAAGGAGTAAGGACCAGAAGGAACACACTTGATTAATTACCAAAGTAGGTAAAACTACATCTATATACAAACTATCAGGTTTTGTTATTTTGTCTGTCCTGCTTCCAGAGTGAGTTGGTACCACAGCCCCCAGACCCTCAAAGGGGTGCAGGCCTCTTCAGAGTGGTCCAAGGTTCAGGGCAAAAACTGGAGGCTGCCCTTCCCAGCACTGATAGGATGTTGGCATACAGGTGTAGGCACATAAAGAAGCAGCCTATAAGCTTTATGTTTAAATGCTGTTTTCAATGACATGACATAAAATGTGCCCTATTACATCTAAACACACAGAGAGCTTTTACAGGAAGAGATTCAACCATCTGAAATGTACACTTAAGCACACATTTTAAGCATGTTAACAACACTATCATAAGAGCAGCCAACAGAGCCAGCTCTGAAATTCATCAGCATTGCTAATGCTGAAGAAATGTTATGGTTACAAAAATGGAAGAAACTAAAGGAAGATCAAAAAAAAATCTTAATAGAATAAAAAAAGAGTATTAGTGAAACGTACTATTTTTCCTAAAACAAATGTTTACTACCAATATAGGCCCTATCCTATGCTTTTTGAAAGACAGAATGCCCTGCTTCTCTAACTTTGTAGAGCATCTAGCTTGTCAGCAACAAGCTAAAGACAAGAAAAGTTATTTAAAAGGTGTGTTAATAGAAAAATCTCTACCAGAAAAGGATCTGAAATCAAAAGGCATTATATATTCTGTCTTCAGCAGAGAAGACAAAACAATTAACCAACTAGAAGAGAAAAAAAAAATTTAGAAAGGCAGCAAAAAAAAATAGACAGCTTTTAGGGAAAAGGGTAAGGTACATCGGTCACTTAAGTCCCACAAAGATATAGAAGAGCAAAAATTGCTTTGAGTAACTAGTCAAGAGGGGAAAATATTCTCCAAATGAGAACATCTGGTTTATTGAATCAAAAGCAAACATAAATTGAAGCTTGGATCACTCAGTTAAAATGCTGTTCCCAAGAGTTTCCAGCTTGGATGTTCTTATGGGAAGTGTAAAAAATACTCTGAGTAGGTGGAGATCATGATCTTACTCTTTCTCCAGTAGGCTTTATTTTGCTTTCTAATAATTAGCTTAGAATGTTGAAAAATAACCTAAAATATGTATGAAACTGCATGCTGGTGCATCAGCTAACCACATGGAATCTGAATGATAATCAAATCACACAAAATAATGAGCTCTTACATGAAAAGCAAATTAAATGAAGAGAATGGTTTCTAGCATATTTCTCTCCCGTTTCTTTTATAACATGCCAGCATAATAATCCCAGGCTTTCACAGGCTCATCAAGCAGCCTCCCTCATAATAGCTGCAGTTCAGAGCACTCATTGCCTTTCCCCCTAATACCTCCTTCCCATGTCCTGTAGCTCCCAAACAAGGGTGCAATATTACAGAATATCAATCCTTCAGTGGCTGCTCACTGGCCAGAGAGCACACAAACCATTTCAGACCTGATCTTAGTAAGGCTTTAACTGTGTGTCTCTAGTTGCTATTTTTTTTCCACAAAACTCGCAGAAAATGACATAGTTTGAGATCTTTGGACTCTGACAAATGTGACTAAAACTTGCCAACAGGTTCAGAAGCTATTGGGAGGGGAAAAGAGGCTGACATCCCCATCACAGAAACACAGTTTTTCCAGAAAAATTTTATCAACGACTCATATTGTAATTACAGGGATTGCTATCTGAGGGAACTTTAAAAGAATCACACCCTGATGTGCTGTTTTCTGCAATCATTATGTTCTTACAGTTTCTGCAAGGAACAGGAAAGAATATAGACACACACAAAAAAGGAAGATATCACTGTAAATCTACAAATAATGACAACTCAAGACACTTGCAGTAAAATACCATTTCATTCCTTTGCTCCCTTTTGAACCTTGTCTTTTTCTTACCTGAAGAGCAAGTCTTTTAGCTGCCCCTTCAAAAATAACAGATGATATTGTCATAGAGAGAAAATATGTAGCCTCTTTCTGAACATAAACTATTCAAAAATGCACCAGTAAAGTTTCTTACTTTAATAATTTTTCTACTGAAGAAGTAATGGGCTTTCCATTTCTAATACTTACAAAAACTTCTTTGAACTCTATGGAAGTTTTATCCTGCACTGTGTTTTTCAATACCATCATTGCTGCTTCAAACTGAACATCCAACGATTCAACTTCTTGGGCACTTGTAATTACATTAGACTGGAAAGAAAACTCCAGGTAAGACATATCATACTCCAAAAATCAAGTATTTAGTAATAAGTATTTACCTGGGCCTCTTCATTCAACTATTTCCAGAACAATTGTTTTATGGAATAAAATGTACTCTAGCTTTCCACAAAATACATTTTCCCTTAAATGTTCAGGTGTTCAGGCACTTCACTCACACATAAACTACCAATTTTTATAGAAAATCCTCTACATTTTCCCAATGAAAAGAAAAAAAAAAAAGCAACTCTTTTTCAATGTCTTATACAGGAAAGACTAATAAAAACCTGCAGTTTCTCAAAAGATAAATAAAAAGCGCTTCATTAAAAAAAAGCAAGAATTTAAATTGTATTCTTCAAAGACTTTTGATGACTCCATATAATCTGTGGCTGTCTGCTGACTAAAACTGAGATGACTTATGGATTGATCAAGGAGATATTGTCTCTCATGCCTTTTGGGGCAAAGAATCAGTATGCAAACTGTTTAATGGTGGACTTGGCAGTGCCAGGCTAATACATTAATGATTTGACTTGATTTTAAAGACATTTTCAAAACCAAACAATCTATGGTTCTTTATTTAGAGATATATTTTCTTTTATTTCATTCATTTCCAAATAATTTTTCTTATATTTCTGTCCTGTGCAAGTGGGTAACTTGAAGGCATTTCACCTGCAATAAAAGTCCACTGGATATAACACAATGATATCTCACCTGAAGGATGCAAAGGAAGGCTTCATACTGTCTCACATTAAATAGTGCTTCTTTTAATTTAAAAGTCCTAAGATGGGAGACTCTGTGGGGGTCCTCCTGCATGGATTCCAACAGGGCTGTGTAGCGGTGGGCTAGCAGCTGGCAGGAATTCAGACGTTCATCAAGAGTCCGTGTAGCTGACAGAATGGCTTCATTCAGGATGTCTGGCACTATTCACATAGAATAAATGTGAAATACATATAAAAAGAATTAATGTAATCATTATCAAATGGTTAAAGAGCAACATAATGATCTTCCAATGAATTTTGGATTTCTACATTTTGTCCTCATATTCATGCATTTGCAAATACTTGCGAGCCAGGTTCAACCACCCAATCTCACTAGTCAGGTTGTTTCAAATATTTAGAATTACAGGTGTGGAAATACCACAGTCAAGTCAAGGAATGGGAGAAAGCTTGCTTTATAGTAGATGTAACTCTGTTGCTACAAGTCACATGGTTTCCTGAGCGAATCCACACAATTTTCAATTCTCAGTTCCCTAATTTGTAGAATACCAATAACAGTAACACGTCTTCCTGAGATGGGAAATTATTGGAGCAGCTCCAGTGAAGAAGGCCAGGAAGAATGAATTGGGAATACTCAGCTCAAATGCATTTGTTTACTTACAGTCATCAATGCCGCTTCCTCCTTTCTGGCACTGCTTGTTGTACAAACGAATTCCTTTGACTAGCATGGCAAGATCTTTCAGTTGTTCTTCTTTGTCCTTCTTACTGAGTGAGATGAAAGGAATCATCTCTGCCTGGGGGAATACACTCTGCAAGGCAGCTATAAGCATTACAAAGTGGAAGAAAATCCTCAATATGAGGGAACAGAAAAGAAAATCATTAAATAAGCAAAAATAGCCTCTCCTGAACAAATGCAAAAAATAGGAAATCTATGGGAAATTTACACTTCAAGACTGAGCAGGGACAGTTTGGATAGTAAGCATCATCACAGTTTACCACATTTGTACCTATATATCAGCAAAGAAGAGATGTGAAAGAGAAAAGTGAAATTTTATTTTTCAAGAAGAAAAGCCCAATTTCACAGCTGGGAGTTTACTGACCTGTTACCTCCCTGACATTCTCAATATCTGTTGGGGATCCCAGGCCAGATCTCAGCAGCGCATAGGTAACAATCTTTTGAAACACATTCTCCATTTCTTCTTGCGTACGTGGACCACTCTCTGTGATAGCTCTAACCACAGGAGCCAGTTTTCCTTCCAGAACACGCTCCTGCTCACTCAGTAATTCATCTAGGAAGGAAGGACACCTAGAAAGTGCTATCTAAGTTCTTTGAAATTTGGCTTATACAAAGGGTGCAATTCATGTCCACAGTCAGAGCAGCAACTTAAGGTTTCTGAAGCACAGGTATGTGGAAGAGATGTTCATAGTATCACACCATTAGAATTAAAACCAGCAGAGTTAAACATTAATATCATTAACATGATTACTGTCAGACAGTAGTCCTGAGAACTGTTCAGGCCAAATTAAAGAGCAAGTCTCTGGCACTCTGGACTCCTCTGACACACCCACGTATTTCAAACACACCTGAAGTTACATGCTCAAGTCAGAATACTACTCATGATCTCAAAAACTTGCTGCAATCACTGAGCTTATAGAGTTCAGAGGATTTAGGATCAGCTTCCAGTGTTGCTAATTTTTGGTTTTAATCCACGCTAACAGGAAAACATTTTCATTATCTCCTTTCAGAGAAATGGGGTTTTTTTGTGTCTATTCTTGTTCTGTGTCTTCTATTTCCCAGCCAGCCTCCACTGTCCCTTTGAGATTTGAAATTACAGTTACAGCAGAGGCATTTTCCCCATCTCATTTTATTTTCACATTCTCATTCTCAGACCATATGAAATTACTACTGATGAGACAAAAATATACTCTGTATATACAACTGTAACTAATTGTTCAAGATTACTCAAATTTCCCAATTAGGGATATTGATAAAATACTGAGTTCTGAGTACCTGAGACACACAGGTGCAGGTGCAAACTTTTCTTGCTGAAGGCAGCTAACCATTGAACCTGAAAGTGCAATTGTCTTCAAGCAACCTAATACATTATATTCAGTAAAGCTCTCAGACAACATGAGAAAACTGTACTCTCAAACCTAATGTACACTTTTTCCTACTATATCCATACTGAAACATCAGACTCCAGTACAGTAAATTTCTCCTGGGATTTTTATTTTGCTTTACTGCCAGGATTCATTTAACAGTAATTATTATTAAATTATAAACTCAGCATCAACTTCTATGAAAACATATTCGAAATTACCTCGGTTTGCATAGTTCATATCAAAGTAAACTTGCATCTTAATTGTGCTTAGGGATGGGTTTGTTGTGTCAAGCAGTCTGGTAACACAGAGCTAAAAAGAGAGTCAGAGACGTGAGTTCTTTCTCATCTCTGGGGAAACATCTGAACTGATAGTGATCTACTACAGGTTTCACAACAGCTGTAGAGCCCTCTCACTACCATTCTCTCCATATAAAGCTTTTTAAAGGCAGTTATGTATGGAAACATAGTCCAGTCTTTAGCTACAGAACCATGAGACTAAAGTAGCACTAAAACTTTGAAAGTATTCATGTAATTTTAGTTACAGGAACAGGTAGCAAATAATGCTATAGTCTTAGATAAGTACTGACTCTCAACATCATGTCAGAATTACCTGGATAAGATCCTGCATATCATTTTCTGTAAGGATTCGATCCATATTAAAGTCATTTCTTGGATCTAAAACAACAGCTTTCACCTAGAGATTGCCAAAAGAAAGATACTAATTTACATCTCAAAATATCATCTTTGCAACTCACCTTTTATTTTCTGAAAAATCTCAGATGCATTCAATATTTCTTTCCTATTCTTTTTTTATCCATTTCAGGCTTTGATAATGAAAGAAAATTACTTCATTTCACATCTCGCCAGTTTCAATCTCAGTTCTCAGGCACAAATGAAGAAAAAGATCTTTTTTGTGATACAAATATTTAAATATAGCTCCTTTAAAAATTACTAGAAAAAATATTTTCCTAAGCAACACTTTCTGAAAACCAATCATGGTTGTTTATAACCTTCTAAGTTGGTGTTATATGCATCAGTACAAACATCTACCATTTGAATAAAAAACCCATAGTGTTCTGAATGCAGAAAAATATGTGCATGTTTGTAATTGATGTTCATGCTGGGTGTCTTGCCAGCCACTTGTACAAATTTTTTACTCGTTAAAATTTTCCTGCTTAATCTGCTTTTGAGCCCAATCTATTTTCTAAAGCTGCAGTGTCACCTTTAGGGGAAAAATAGCACATTAACAGTACTGCTGTGAACCATTTACATTTATATACAAGTTTATCAAGAGCTGATCATCAATAAAAAAGGAACTTAGCCCATCTTTCTTTAGACACAGCTTTGCAGGCACATTCAGACTATATTCTGCAGGAGATCTGTGTCTCCTAAGAGATGCCAAAATGTAAAATGTTTTTAGGATTCTTACAGTTCTCTACCAAGGACAATACTGAGACTGATTCCATTAAATTTTCACTTTAAGTGGGATCAGAGCCCACTTCTTCAAATATTCCCCCCATTTATACTACCTGGCCCTGTCTCAGCAGAGAAACAAACAAAATTTTCCATCACAATAGAGGGAAGAGGTAAACATCGAAGAACAAATATAGCTGCTGCATTAATCATTCACCTATGCATCACACGTTCATTTATGGGAGTGTGAAGAAACGTTATTAAAACTTGGTAGCACTTCTCCTTTTCACTTCTGAAAGAAAACGGGGGTTTATCTGCTGCAGAAGAAAACTGGGAAAGAGCTCTGAGTTCAGAGAGCTTCCAGAACTCGGAACCTGCAGTCTTCTTGGAGCATTATACTCACATAAGATTTCAGAGGAATGAAGTATTTTTCCCGGTTTTTAGGACCCTGATGTCTCTGAACGCCTCTTTAAAATTTCTTCCTGCAGGCAACTGGAAACCAAGGTATTTCCAAGCCCAGGTCACCCTGAAAGCTTCAGCTGCCGCCAGCCCCTGAACGCTTCCTTTCGCGCTTACCATGAAGGCCACCAAGGTTTCCGAGAGGCTTTGTCCCCGGGCAGCGCACTCCAGGCCGACTTGGCGAATTATTCTCTTGATGACACTTTGTGTCAGCTCGCCGGACATGCTGACCAAACACGCCTTCACCGGCTTACATTCACTTCAGTGAGGGTCTCTCTCGGCCCGGCCCCGCCGCTTGCTGAGCACCCCGTCCTGACGCCAAACCTCCCCGCTGTCCGCACGTCCCGGCCGCCGGTGCCGGGCGGGAGCGGCCACGGCCGAGCGCCGGCCCCGGGCGTTGCCAAGGGGACGCGGCCCGGCCCGGCCCGGCCCGGCTTGCCGGGAGCGCGACGAGGGCAGGCGGGGATGTGAATTTACACACCACGCATACACAGACAGTGTTTGTACAGCATAGATGGGGCAGTGTGCGCGCAAAACACACGCCTGCATTTATTCCAAAGACGTGGCTGTAGAGGCACCGGAGTGTAGTTGTGTCTAGGTGCACATACAAACCGTGGGTGTGGGCGTCTGCAGCTACGGCTGTATGTAGGTGTGTGTAAATATAGATACATATGTATGTATAAAGACACATACGTACCGTACATAGGTGTGTGTACCTTAATATTACAGAATCATTAGGATCGGAAGGAACTTAAAGAAATTATCCAGTCCAAGTCCCCTGCCAAGGAAGGGTCACCTAGAGCAGGTTACTCTGGAATGTCTCCAGAGGGAGATCCACGGCCTCCCTGGGCAGCCTGTTCCAGGGCTCTGCCACCCTCAGTGTAAAGAAGTTCTTCCTCATGTTGAGGCGGAAATGCTTGTGATTTAGATTATGGCCACTGCTCCTCACCTTCTCACTGGGCACCACTGAAAAGCATCTGGCACCATCCTCTTGGCACCCATCTCTGAGATATTTATGTGCATTAATGACATCCCCTCTCAGTCTTTTCAAGACTAAAAGGCCCACCTCCTGCAGTCTCTCCTCTGAGAGAGATGTTCCAGACCCCAGATTATTTTTATGGCACTCTTCTAGACCCATATATACTCATACATACAATATATATACTCGCCATGGCAGTGGGGATCGGAACTAGGTGATCTTTAAGAGCCCTTCCAACCCAAACCGTTCTATGAATGGTCTGCTGGAGAGGGGCAGAGTGGGAGGAAAAAAACCTTCATGCTAAGCAAGCACACAGCCAAAACACCTGTGTGTTAACAACACACCACAAATCCAAAGCACAGCACCACAGGGAATGCTGATAAGCAAGCTAACTCCATCCCAGCCAGACTTGGTACAGATAAATGTATTTACACACCTATAAATGCATACAATACATTGATAAATTCACACATACATGTAATAAACAAAATGTGTGTGTGGTACCCAGCAAGTGCTGGTGGCAGAGGCAGCACTTAGAGGCAACTTTGAGGCAACTTTGCTCTGCAACACAAACAAGAGGGCTGTCTTTGCTTTCAGGTCTCGTGATTGCTGCTGGAGGTGGCAGCTCCTCTGGGTGTAGTGCCTGCAAGTACTACAGGTCACAGCCTGCAAGCAACAGCCCAGTGAGCCCCAAGTTCTTGCATACACCAGTGGGCATAGCACTGGATGAATGCAATGCCTTGCTGTAAGTGGTTCAGTTAGTCAATATGCAATTAATTCCAGCTTTTCCATGTCAGATGGAGGAACGAGTAGTAGCATGCTAATTAAATTTAAAAGCCAAGTCCCTGAAAAGCAATCAAACAAGCTTAAAAGGCACAAGGAATGCAGGGATAACAGATGAAAAGCTACACCAGTTTTCCACTGATTTATTTTTTTTCCCTTTGATTTACGCTGTCAGACAGAGGGAACTCCACTGAGAATCATGATGAGATCAAGATGATAATTTTTTTCCACTGTGACCTCAGACAAATCACTCTTATCAGTAAAATTAAGATTATACTATGCTACCTGGCAAGTAGCTGCAGGGTTACATCCGTGTTGTCAGTGTGTGTACAAAGGTACAGTGCAAGGAGTGCTAGCAGCATTACCCATAGGAAATGCTTTGGGAAGATCTGTGGAACAGGCATCAAAACAATCCTGCAACAGACATTGCAAAGTCTCAGGTTTCATTCTAGTAGCACAGCTAATGGGGCTTCTTAATATGTCCTCTGCATTGATATTTTAAAAATGCAATACCCTTAAGCTCAGGAATTATAGCAAGACTTTCATCAAGAGAATCTACAGGACCTCTTTTTCTACAAATTGCTGGATAAGTTGTTTTTGGGGCCCTTCCTGGAGCAGAAGTATGTTGCTGTTAGTACGCTTTAACTTATTTGTAACCTGCTGAAGACTTTAGGTTGGACAACACAGTTTTATAACTAAAGCAGCTGGATTTCTCTTCTAGAATTAGTATCATGTTTTAAACAAGTTCCAGGAATGGAGGCCTGGTACCTGAAAGACAGATAAAGTCTTCCCCCTGGCGGCGCATATGAGCCATTGACAGACAGGAGAAGGATTCCTGGTTTGTGGTAGGAGGAAGTACCGGATTAGTTTGAGGAGTCATTAAATGACACACACGGTTGTTTTTGAATCTCTGTAAAGTTTGACACCCTAGTGCTTTATTCATGGGAAAGCATATCAGCTATTTGATGAATTTGCTATCACATATGACTGGCTATCACATCTAGGAAGTCACCCCTTTATCCAGCTATATACAGAAGATGAGATTTACTTAACGGGCTGCTCAAGTCTGAGCACATATCCTCATTTTGCTAGTGTGGGGACAAAGTTGCAGCTGGGTGCTCTTACACCACGGATCTGCAGAAGAAACAACCTACAAGCAGCTACATGACTCAGCGGTCCAGTTCAGGGCACGGCCTGAGTCACATTAAGTGAAGAGAGCTTGCACCCCAGAAGATAACAACTGCCAGGATGGCAAAAAACACTGTTTTCTGAAGCTCCACCCACTGCCCTGTGCCCAGTGGAGATGCTGGGCTGAGCAAGAGACTGTCTGAGTTGCATAAACACAGCCACATTCACTAAGGGATTCTGCAATCACTAACCCTCCAGTCATTCCCACTCATGGCTCATCTGAAAGAGACCTTCCAGCTCAGTTAGCCTCTCTCTGCACTCGGCCCTCCTGCTGGTGAATGAGCACCAGCCCCTTGGCCGGAAGGTCTTCTGCTGCCATAAATATTCCAAGGCACTGGTTAAAACTCTTCAAAGATGATACATCTAAGTGCAGGGATTTACTGCTGACAGTGCAGGATACAAGCAGAAGCTGAGTCCCTTTCCTCATCTCTGAAGTTAAAACATAAACTGTGTGATGCAGGCTTTTGTTTTCTACTCTTCAGAGTCCTGAAACTACCTTGCATCTTGATGTAGAAACTAAAGTCCACTTGATTATGCTTGATTGTTTGAAAGAAGCAGTGCAAGGAAAGCCTTCTTCACACAGGAATCAAAGGCCTGTCTCTTTTGAGAGAAAAACACATTCCATCTATCTAGCTTTATTTCCACAGTGTCACGGAGAAGTGTCACAGTCAGAAATCCATTTTGTGAGGACAGACAAGCCATGCCACCTTTTTTTAGCTTGTCTATTAGTTCACAATAAAGCTGACTTTCAAAGCTGAGAATGTTTTGGTGCAAGGGTATTTATTCTTTCTTCCTCCTCAAATCTGTATATCAACAAATGGAACAAACTGTGCTTGTGCTGCCTTGCTTGAAGCACAAAGCTGTGGTACTGGCCAACAGTGCTGACCAGCTCAGCATTAATGACATAGTCATACAAGAGCATGCAGTGCTATTTTAAGCTTCCATGACTCTCCTGAAAAGCTATATAAGTGGTAGGTATGTAACCACTGCAGACTCATTGAGGCACAGTGCAGATTATGCTTCACATTCAAAGGAATCCTTGTCAACATTCATAGCAATCATTTAACATATAGTTTAGGGTCTGACCCTCCCTTTTGGAATATGATAAAGGAATGTGAGGCTGTTCTTCTATTTACTTCCCCCAGCTCCAACATTTTTCTGTATTAAAGAAGGGATGCCTGAGTATTCTAGTGCCATGTCTCCCCCTAATTCCCACTATATCAGACTTTCACTGCAATATGAGGCTACCTGGAAGGGACCTTAGACTCAATCATTGGGCAGAGGACTCAGATCAGGGAAGACAACAGTTATCCCCAGGATGAAACTGTCATCAAGGTAGCAAGATTTTGCTGGACAAAGAAGTCCAATTTGGCTTTTAACTCAGAAACAGAAAAAAAAAAATCACTCACAGATAACATGGTACAAAAGGTTTACCTTTCATTTGAGTATTTCTGGAAAAAAAAACCAACCCAGAAGCACAGAAACCCAGTTAATAAATGCACTATTGTTAGCCTGTATCCCTTAGCAGGCATAATAGATGCACTGTATTTCCCAGGTTCCAGAAAAGGGTGCAGGGCACAATTATTTGTCCTTCAAACCTTGAGAGCTCTGGCAGTCACTGTGCAGAGGGAGTGGGGAGATTCCAGACATACCATCAGTGCCTCAACTGGAAACTCCTGCAAAAGATGCATTATTCAGCTGTATTCAGATGAATCACTACTTAAGGCTCCCAAACAATATTAACATTACATTACCATTTCAGTTAAAGGCATTTATAAAATTAATCAAGAGAATTTTGCATTAATCATCCCTCTAAAATAATTTGCTCAAAGCTAGACCCAGGACTTATAATAGACTCAGAATCACAGGTTGGAAGAGACCTTCAAGATCATCAAGTCCAACCCATGCCCTAACACCACAACTAAACCATGGCACTGAGTACCACATCCAGTCTTTTTTTAAACACATCCAGGGATGGTGACTCCACCACCTTCCTGGGCAGACAAATCCAGTACTTTATCACCCTTTCCATAAAAAACTTTTTCCTAATATCCAACCTATATTTCCCTTGGCACAGCTAGAGACTGTGTCCTCTCGTTCTGTCAGATGCCGCGTGGTGAAAGAGACCAACCCCCACCTGACCACAAACACCTTTCAGGGAGTTGTAGAGAGTGATAAGGTCACCTCTGAGTCTCCTTTTCTCCAGGCTAAACAACCCCAGCTCCCTCAGCCATTCCTCACAGGGCTTGTGTTCCAAACCCCTCACCAGCCTCGT